GGTGACATGACCTTTAGCCTGGTTTGTTCCTTTTTGCACACCACACATACAATGATTAAAGTGGTAGGGAAAGCCCCCCCCCCAATTCTGCGTTGGCTGTCTCTAGCAAGCATATCGTTGCTAGCACCACTCTGGCAGCCACTAATGATCCTCTGCAAGCTAGCAAAAAATTAATGCAACTTGCTAGGCACGTTGGACACCTTACTACTCCCTATACCACACCATGGCTGGAGTGCAATGTGTTCCAGTAAAAATAGTGTACATCTTTATCAAATTTGGTGCATCCTGCTAGTTCGGTACACAGCCTGTGTAGATTCAGTAATATTTTTAATTCAAATAATGTATGATTTCCTTCCTTTCGAATCAAGGGGGTAATGTCGGCGTATATAAATTTTTTGGGAGGTAAAAGGTAAAAAAGTTCCCTGACCCCTGAGCTAGATTAGTATGGGCACAAGTCTAGAAGGAGGGAGATCTGCCAAAGGACGATATGATTGTAAAAAAAATTAAAATGTACAGAAATTGATAGACTAAAAAAGAGATTGAGAGGACAAGAAAAATCAATTTACTATTTAAGCTGGAATTTATTTTATGAATGGTGGAAAACAAAAGTTTTGTAATAAATAGAAAAGTAAATGAATAATATGGAGAAGATCTTGCTGAAGAAATATTTTCGTAAACAAGATTGCTTGTAGGCTTAGCTTTATAAAATGTGTTGTTTTTAGGTATAGATACATATATACTGTATACATATATAAGATGCTGTTTTTTCTATAGTTGTAAATTTTATGTTGGGAATTTTTTTTTTTTTAAAGAAGTGTCACAGGAACCCTAAACAGAAACACTTCATACTGCAAGGCTTTTTGCAAGCCTCCCTTGCTCCATCTTAACAGCTACATCAGGTGGCAGAACAGTTATCTGTCTGGAAGCTTCCTTAGCCCCATACTTCAGCAGATGAGGCTCGAAGGCCACAGAAACTCCTACAGCATCTTAAAGGCCATTATGAAAACAATTATACCAAAGTATTTAGGACAAACAAATTATAATAAATAAAACCTGTTAGTACTTTTTGCTGAAAAACAGTTAGCCCTGTTAGCTACCTCCCTGCAAATGTTTGCTGTAAGCTAACTGCATTAGAGTACTGAACAGTTACAGAAAAGACTATGGTCAGTAGGAAACTATATTTTTAGCTGCAAATATAGACAGCCAGAGAACTGATATCATTTGTCACATACTTAAACTCTGATAATGGCACAAGAGTTCAACCACATTATGCTACTAAATAATTGGAAAAATATTTCCCAATTGTTTATTCTCTGGCATCCTACAATTCCTGCTAGATCACCAATTTGTTTCCGCTGTCTGATACCGTATTTAGTGGCCTTGTCCCACCTCTTAAGATAGTGAAAAATGGCAAGATTCATACAACAATGGTGTTTCTGCACACCTGGAGGATTCAAACAGGATGTAGACATTGGTGCAAATGTGTAAACATTTTAAAGAGGATTTTTTAAAAAAAAGAATATATCTTCTCAGGTAATTCTTATGATGGTGGCAATTACAGTAACCCTTCCTGTAGAAGGAGACCATTAGACATAGCTAAAACTCTTCACAATGACAACAGTGGGGGGGGGGTACCTCAGAGGTGCTATTTTGGCCTTTTTCAACAAAGATACAAAGGGCAGAATTTACCCAGCAAAGATCTTGAAAACTCCTGCCTATGCAATACTTAGTTCTCTCAGTGAACTGAATAGTTTATTGTGCATCCCGATCCCAAATCCGTTCTCCACCTATAGTTCAAATGCGCTCAGGCATAGAACTAGCAGCACAGCAGCAGGAAGTAGACATAATCCATACTCTGAATTAACTTCTCTATCTTTTTGTCACGTTTGGTACAGAAAAAGGCTCAAGAACTACCATGTAGGTTTCTGGAACTAAACCCAAAGTAACTTCCCTGGTCAGTTTTAACAAATCAAAACATGTGGCTATTTTGTATTTACCCTTTAAACAACAACAACAAGAACAAACCACTATAAATGGTATAATGAAAATAATAACTGGCTCTAGAAATACTGAACAGTCTGGCTTGGCAAATCATTTCTTGTCAGATACAGTTTAACCCATGTGCACTAGAATCAAGACCCAGTGTGGTGTAGCAGATACAGCACCAGACTAGGAATCAGGAGACCTGGATTTAAATCCCCATTTAGCTACGGAAACTCACTGAGGGTGGCAATGGCAAACCCCTCCTTGAAAACCTCACATTCCTCAAAAGCCGTATAAAAGAGGGTTGCCGTACATCAGAAACAGGTCAATGGTATATAACAACTGTCACCACATATCTATGGTAAAAGCCTTATCTGAATGTTGTAAAACAACCTTCTTAATGAGGGAAAAATAAGGCTGAGGGGATGATGCATGCATTAGACCATCAGAAAGGCCTGGACCAAGAACTGTGTTGCAATTACCAGAGTAGTAATCTACATATGATCCACTTTCCTGGGCCATATGGCATCCCCTACTGCTTTGGAAGCATAATTGTTTGGTCAGAAAAACTGAAACAAAGTGTCTGAAGATAATGTGAATGAAATGAGAACAGAGTGGAAGGAAGAACTTTGGATGGTTTAGTCCAAATAAAACAATGGAAATCTATCCTAGCTTCAATACATAAAATCATTTTAGATCTAAATCCATATTTAGTTCAGAAAAATGGGTGTTTCAAACATACTGGACACGAGGTATGGGACCCTGTGAGGTGGATTCCCAAAAACAAAACATGGAGTCCCATTCCTACAGGACATGATTAATTTACAAGGAAATGGCCTGTTTCAGTAATGTACCATATCTTTCTGTTTATAAGATAACCCCCGTTTCTAACCCCCAAATTAGAAAAATTGAACTCCACGGGGCTTTGGAAGTGAATAAAGCAGCCGTGAAACAGCTTCAGGATCAAAGGGGTGTGATTGTGCATCCCTTTCATTGCTGCTTTACCCAAAGGGAGCCTTACCTTCCTTTTTGCTAAGCCCCACGGCTTCACAAAAAGCAGGGAAAGTGGCTGCCTTCCGTGTATAAAACAACCCTCAATTTTTTGTCTAATTAATTAAGGAAAAAATGTCATGTTATACACAGAAAAATATGGTAATACATATAGTGCTTGTTTGAATGTACAATGTAGACTTGACCAGTGCTGGGCCCTTTTTGGTTTGAGGTAGTGCAGCGAATTAATCTTGTGTTAGAAAAAAGTTTTATGTTTTCAGAAATGTACATATTTTTAAACTGTGTTTTCTAAACTTGGAACTTAATTGGTGGTTGGCACAGTTGAATTTTACAAGTGCTTATGATCACCACAAGACTAACACTTCAAGGGTTGAAAGATGAATATATAACATCTATAAATCAACATGAGAAGATTTCAGTATTTTTGCTACTGATGTAAACTTCAAACAAAATATTTTTGGGAATATGAACCACTTATATTAATGTACTGTATGTGCCAAGTGCACACCCATCTTTTGTATACCCCCTCTTTCTTCTTTTCTTTCTTTTGATTTAAATAATCATGTTACAAAAAAAGGTTAAAATTTCCAAATTCCATCAATTCTTGTGACATTATTGTACCCCGATTAGTGAAATGGCAAATCTGTTTATCAATGCATGAATATATGTATTGTATATACAAGTGCAGACACATTTTCTTTGTTTACCTATACAGATTCATTAAAAAAAACTTACATTAAAGGGAAACTACTGAACTGAGTAGCCTGTGAACAATGCAGAGAAATACACATGTAGTATAATTTTATGGCACCTCAGATCTAGCCATCTGTGGTGTTCCACAAGTAACTTGGAGCATTTTTGGCATATGATTTGAGGATGATCATTTATTATTTATTTCGCCATACAACTCAACCTAGTGTCAATGCCCCATATCATGGAATGCAAAGGACTGTGTGACTTGTGTATTTTGGACAGTACATACCGTTTCCCCCCAAAAATAAACCCTACCCTGAAAATAAGCCCTAGTATGATTTTTCAAGATGACTGTAATATAAGCTCTGAAAATAAGCCCTAGTTAAGTGAAACCCTGCCCTCCACCAGGGACTCACCGGGACCCTCCCAAGCCCTCAAGAGAGACTTAAAACTTCTTCCCCTCCTCTCCCACTTCCCTTGCTCGCATAGGGGCTGGGAAGCCAGGGAGGAAGGAGCTGTGCACCACCAGGAACTTGCTCCTTGGCTCCTCAGTTCCCAACGGCTCTTGGGGCTCGCGCTTCTGCAGTATGCGCGCTTTCCCCCCAGAATGTGCCCAGGCGAGGCTAACAAAGCACAAAGTTGAAGGGGGGAGGCAATCTCAGAGCTCTGGCCCCCGCCAGCCAGCCAGCCCCCCACCCTGCCTTCATTTTCCCCTCCTCTCTTTCTCCTACCATAACTCTTCTTGTTCGGCTCCCTCTTCGGTGCTGGGTGCTGCTGGCGCACCGCCAGGAACTTGCTCCTTAGTTCCCAACGGCTCTTGGGGCTCACGCTTCTGCAGTATGCGCACTTTCCCCCCAGAATGTGCCCAGGCGAGGCTAACAAAGCACAAAGTTGAAGGGGGGAGGCAATCTCAGAGCTCTGGCCCCCGCCAGCCAGCCAGCCCCCCACCCTGCCTTCATTTTCCCCTTCTCTCTTTCTCCTACCATAACTCTTCTTGTTCGGCTCCCTCTTCGGTGCTGGGTGCTGCTGGCAGAGCCAGGTGTTGAAGCAGCTGCCACCCTTTCCTCAACTGGGCTCACCGGCTTCGGACTCCACCCCCTTCCACACCAATGTCTCCCCCTTCACTGCTGCCACTGTTTCCAGCAAAATAAACCCAGGGCCCGCCAGCCCCAATGGGAGCCTCAGCCCAGGCACCACCACTGGAGGAACCCGAGCCAGTGGGTGGAGAGGTGGAGGCACCCCTGGAGGAAGTGGCACCAGGTACATTTAAAGAAGGGGAGGGGAAAAGGGAATAAATTAATAATAATTGAACACATGTAGATTATTGTTCTTAAAAAAAATCCCCCGAAAATAAGCCCTAATGAGATTTTTTTGAGCAAAAATTAATATAAGACCCCTATATTATAGAAGACTCCTGATTGAGACTCTTGGATTGTGTCTCTGTAATTCTGATCCTGCATAGTTGCAATTCTCTTTTCAGGTTATATTGCTCTATTTGACATTCTTCATTCTTGTAAAACAAGACTATTTGGTTGTTTTGTTGCAATGCATGAAGTAACACATGACTATCTGATGGTTTTGTGGTAGCATGAACACAGCTGGAAGGAATTTATATGAAAATGGCAAATAATTATGATAACAATCAATTGCTGTTTACCTTTGGATCTCCAAGAATTGCAATTCCAATAGACAGTTTTCTTTTCTGTCCTCCACTTAGTTTTTTTGCTTGGTTATCTTTAATTGGCTGCATATCCAAATCTAGTAATACTTTCTGGACCTTAGAAAATCAAACATATTTGTTAGTTAGTGATAATTGAAGCATGTTATGTATCAATCAACATGTTTACCATGCTATACCTTCAATGCTTAGGATGACTGAAAATAATTATATATTTTATGGTACTATTTACGGCCATGACCTAGAACTTCAAAACTGCTCTTTAACCTTTGACCCATACTCATAACTGCAAACAAATAGTCAGAAGATTTGAGGTGGAAGTTTTTAAAAGCAAGTATGTTGTTGGTACACATGCATTCTATGTACATTTCATGTTCTTTTTTTTTTAAAGTCCTTTTATATTAGATTATTCTGCTTCCTTTTAAGTATGAGTAAAATAAAATATGAGTTTAGAGGCTGGGTGCTTCTGGAAGCAAAACTCAGGATAAATTGATCTGCACAACCTATATCATTCCACTCCTCTCTTCCAACTCTACTCTAGAGAGTTTATGTATGACAAGTGTCTGTTTTATAATGAGTAGTAAAATAAAATAGAATGTAATAGGACCACAATTTCCATAGCTTTAACAGCCATAAAGGTTTCACTTAAAAAACTTTCACAGTAATATCACAGCCTTAAATCAAAATAATATACACACAGAGTATATAATTTTTGTCAAAATTACTCACCTCTTGTATCATATCATTGGGAGGTATGCCTTTAATTGAGGCAACTATGGATAAGTTTTCTTCCACTGTTAACACATCAAAATAGATGTCTAACTGCTGACAAACTCCAGTTATCTTTCTTGCATCTAGCATTTCATCAATTTCAGAAACTTTATATCCATATATTGATGCAAATCCTAATGGAAAAGAAAGGATTACTACTGAGGCAGTTAAAAAGGGGTACTAAATGAAAAACAATCTAGCCCATTGACAGAATTCTCAATATAATATGATCATTCAGATCTGATGACCAGCAGCCTACATATGGCAACAAAAATTCTCAGGAAATTCTCCTATTTTGGGGTTCCTAATTGTCAGAACATAGAAATAAACAAAAAACAAAAACCCAGAATGGCATTTCCAAAATTGATATCTACTACACTGGTATTTCCCTAATTTGCGGGAAGGCCAGAACATGTCCATCTAGAAACCAAGATGAACTACAGAATCAAATAGAATTGTTAAATAGGGATCAGTATCCTACTGCTGGTATCAACTCGAATTTAGTCAGTGAATCAATGGCTGAATAGTAAGTCAATGCTTATGTAACTTCAACTGGATCAATGGATCTACTCCAGTTGGGAAAACAATGCTTTGTGGCCAGTAATTTCCTACTATGCAGTTGTGCAAAAGGGCAGAAAGGCAGTCTGGAAATGTATGCAAAGAAAATGTGGATGCTGTCAATAGCAACTTTTAAAATTAATTCTACATTTTTATATGGTTATTCTTTTTTATGATTAGAATTATTGCCCATTGTATTCAATACTGTTTTTAATGTATTTTTGTTATTGTGAGATATTGTACGTTTTGATTTTGAGTAAACTGCTAGTAGTGCTTACACTAATTGGGAAGTATATAAATTAAATTAAATTAAAAAATACAGTAACTAAGGAGTAGATCTGGAGGAATAAGCTCCACCTCAGCAAAAACACCTAAACATACATGTTTCCAAATGTATGATTGATGTTGGTATCGAAAGTGGGAAGGCTTTATGGTTGCACTTAGGGCTTGACCAGATCCATGCAACTGAATGGAGAATCAAGAAATTCAGTAAAACTTTTCAAAAGAAAACAAAGGACAATAGACTCTTCTGATTCCTTTTTCTTCTCTTCCTCAGAGATCTGATGGACTGGATACAGTTTGACAAATACATACCATCAGAAGGGGGGCACAATCCACAAAGAATGTTCATTAATGTTGTTTTCCCTGTTCCACTGTGTCCAAGTAATGCTGTGATCTGACCCTCATATATGTCAAATGTTAAACCTAATAAAGGAATTAAGCAATAGTGGGGAACATGAGAAAACATTGCAACAAGGAATCTTGTGAACTAATAAAGACTAACAAATGTAGTACTATAGTCCACAATTATGAAAGCTGTTACAATAAAACTGTTTATCTCAATGTGTCATGCAAACATTTCATGTTTTTGTTACAATAGAGTAACACAAACTAACCCTTTGATATAAGCGTTATTATCACATATTCAGACACTCCCTCTCATTCTTAAGGAATGAACACCACACAGTGTAACACATAATACTTCATACTACTAAACACTAAAATGAGTTAAAAATACATCATTAAGAGTTAAAGAAACCTGCCCACATGCTATGCCATTGTTCCCACTGTCAGAAATTAATGCAAAGAACAGGCATCATCTGAAATTTAATAACTCCCACTTGTGGCAGATAGTTGAAAACCTAAAAATTCTTACTTTTCAGAGCCTCCACAGTTTCACCTTTTTTAACAAAAGATTTCTGGACACAGTTGATTCTGAAAGAAGACAAGCTAATTTTATTTTTTAAAAGTGATGCAGAACTCTGATAGAATTTCCCTAGTAAGAAATTAGAAAACAATGTGCAATAATCACATATTTGTATCAGCACCGACAATAATGTTTTGGTTAACAATTAATTCAAAGTAGTACTTTTATCTGGAAAAATGAAGGAGAGGTCAAATTTTTAACGTCTTGCCCAGAAAGAAAGTACAAATATTTTCTTGAACATGTAACTTTACCACAATTTCTTCCATATTCAGATTACACATGGAATGTTCTAAGAAACACATGCAGTTACTTTTGCAGAAAGACACTATGTTACAGAATATAATGAAACACTAGTATTAAATAATATATGTGCAAATAACATAGACCACTTTATTTTTGTTTTCCTATCTGTCACATTACATAAAATCTGGCTAAATGGCACTGCATGTGTGTTGGAAAGAATATGCACCAGATGCACTAAGCTACTTCATATAAATGTTAATATATATTACTAGTACTTTCAGCACCCTTAGCAAAACACGTTTATTGCCTTGACTGCAAATCACACTACCTTGCATTTGAAAATAATTTCTTTTCAGCAAATTAAGGTAGCTGTATTTTATTTGCTGCTTCCCCCTTGAGCAAAGTTACTATCCAAGAGATCAAATTAAGGTAGCTAGTATTTTATTTGCTGCTTCCCCCCTTGAGCAAAGTTACTATCCAAGAGACCCTGATACCAGTAGTCTTCCTAGTTGCAGCAAATCAATGCTTAACACATGCAACAGATATGCACTATACCATACCATACATGCATGTATCTTTCAATCACTTTTTAACAGTTGTTTACAGTGAGATGAATCCAGACTTAACTTGAACCTAGAGAAGAGACACTGAAATTGTTGCAATTTACATCAGCCACAACTTACTTAAGTTCTATTGATTTCAAAGGATGTACTTTAAACATTATTAAGAGCACAATCTGAACTAGATAAGACAGCTAAGGGCTGGCTGAGGACACTAAACCAGCTGAGACTGTGCTGAATCTACATTCCCAGTCTAGGGATGCTGGCACTTACTGTCTTGATGGCAGACTAGCTTTGTGCTGAGTCTGTGGCCATGAGTCTGTGCTGAGTGGGGTTTAGATCTTGTGTAATTCAGTTATTTCTCTGCACCTCCCTTTATTTGCTTCTTTTTTGGCTCTTCTGCAGCTGATGTAAGCCCACATATGTGTGCAGGTAGGTCTGAGATCAGCCAATGCAAGGAGGTTGTGCAACCATGTGAGCAGTTCTGCCAGTGTGATGCTTATGCTTATTTCAAACCTACTACAACTATCATATCTTTAGAGTTTGCATTACACTGCCTGGCTGGATCAAAAGGAATGTTTTAGGGAAACTTTTAATGTTAAGATCTTTTCCCAATGTTGTTATTTTTTCTTTGCTTCTTATCATTATGATAAAAATCATGGTTTCACAGAACGACTGTTATATTTACACATGAAAATCATGACACAATACTTCCCAATCAATTTTTCTGTGAAAAAGAAAAATTGTGGAGAAATTCAACTGATGTGGCACTTATGTGCATGCAATTTATGCATCACCATATGTACAAAAGAAGATCTTGCACATGGCTGTATAATTCTGTTCAAGTAGCCCACTTCTGGTCAAAAAAAAGTCTAATTATCTTAACATTTTAATTTGTTTTTAATTCTACCTATCTTTCATATATGTCCATAATTTTAAATTGTGCAATGCTCTGATATGAATAAAGACCATTATTTCCCTCACACTGTATTACTTGAAGATGCAGATATTACTCACAGTTATTGTATGTATGTTAATAGTTAATTCTTAAAACTTGAACATACTGTATAACTAAACTAATATAAGCAACTGAGATTAAGCAACAGTATTATACCTGATAGCTTCCTTTCCCTGAAATTCAGAAGACACTGGTTCAACGATTTCATTGAAATCTAAGTTCCCATTAATATTGCTCTCATACAGTTCCTTATAATTTCTTGTTCGCTTGGACCAAAATGACGGCTTCAGAAAGAAGAAAAAACTTCGCCGCAAACCATATTCTCCTAGGCAATAAAAGAGTGGGAAAATTTATAAATACATGAAATATATGAAACACAGTATACATTGTTCTTGTTATCTATCATGAAGCTGATTCTGAGTTTCTTAAAACCTATGAATTAAGAAGCTTCACAAAGTTCTATCACAGACAGGTCTTGCAAACGTTAAAGCTATTGCTTTCTTTATTGACTCAATCCATCTCATGTTAGAACTTTCTCTTTTCCTACAGTCTTCCATTTTTCCTAGCATTATCTTTTCCAGTAAGTCTTTCCTTCTCTTTATATGGATTCTTTTCATCCTAGAGATGCCTTATTGGACACTGAAGTGGAAGCCTTTCATGTCTGAAAATCACTACCACATCTCCAGCTGCTGGGACTGGAACTGCTGGCTGTGATTTTCCGATACTGAAGCCTCACCCCTCCCTTGTTCTGAAGCCCCCAAAGGCCTTATGTGCACAGAACTGTGCCAACAGGATTCCAGCCAATATGTCCCTAATTATCAGTACTGATTTTAGTGGTGAAATAAAGGGGCAGAACTTCTTTTTATATCTGCTCCAAACATTTAACATGTTTCTTAAAAAGGGGTTGTTCACCTGATTTATTTTCTTTTTACAACATTAAACAAATATTTTTCAATAATCCTATTTATTTCTGAGGATTCCATATCCCACAAAATTAATCTTCCTTCATTATATATATCGCCAATAAATCTTAGTTGATTCACTATATAATATTTTTTTTATTTTAGGAATACCTAAACCTCCATTTTTTTAGCCTTGTACCAATATCTTTTATTTATTCTTGATTTTTACCTTGATTACAAAATCCATTAATTAGTCCCTGCCAATACTTACAATCTTCTTCTTCTAAGTGTATTGGAGCATCCAAAATAAAAAAGTTATTCATGGTAATATTTTCATTTTGACCATAGTGATTCTCCCAAACCACAATAGTTCCAATTTAGAATACTCCTGTTCAATAATCCTATTTATTTCTGAGGATTCCATATCCCACAAAATTAATCTTTCTTCATTATATATATCTCCAATAAATCTTAGTTGATTCACTATATAATAAATTTTTTATTTTAGGAATACCTAAACCTCCATTTTTTTAGCCTTGTACCAATATCTTTTATTTATTCTTGATTTTTACCTTGATTACAAAATCCATTAATTAGTCCCTGCCAATACTTAAAATCTTCTTCTTCTAAGTGTATTGGGAGCATCCAAAATAAAAAAGTTATTCTTGGTAATATTTTCATTTTGACCATAGTGATTCTCCCAAACCACAATAGTTTCAATTTAGAATACTCCTGCATTTTATCTTTAATTTTGCTTTTTAATTTATTCAAATTTTGCTAATTTAATTTTTGAGTCACATTAACTATATTTATACCTAAATATTTAATATAGTTGCACATTTTAATATCATATTTATTTACAAACTTTTCTTGTTCATATTTACTGCAGTTAAACATCATTACTTGTGGTTTTGCCAATTAATAGTTAACCCTGTTATTTCTCCAATTTTTTCTAAATGATTTTTAATTCTATCCATACTTCTAATGGGTTTTGATCGTTAATAGTGAATCATCAGCAAATAAAATAATTAATTGTATCATTTTTACCTAATCTTTTAATTAACTCATCATTTCTTATTGTATTAGCTAACAGTTTTATAATCATACAAAACAATAAAGCACTGGAAAATTTGTTCACAAGTTTTCAGTGTACTCATGATTTCCCAGTAGGCGGCTTCACATTGCAAAATATTTTGACATTATGGCAACCAGCCTTACACCTAAACATCTCCTCTCCCCTTATCCTTTACATACTCAAATGCTCTTTCCTTTAATTCTACAGTCTCAGCAGGCAAATGACTATTTAAACTGCCAAACAATTTTCTGCATAATCACCATTTACTTGCCCAGTTTGAACAAAATGGCAAACTAGTTTACTAAGAAGCTAGAACCAAGCAGGGAAATCTGAATCTGTGTATAAGCATAAGACATGTTCACAAAATGTTCTGTCAATCTTGTGTAAAATGTTATTTAAAACATAATAATTGACACTTTAAAAACAAACAGGTTCAATTGAGAGAGAATAGGTGACAGATATAAACATATATAAATTTGTGGTCTCAAACATTTCAGTGGCCAGAATCCTACTGCTGATTTACACCTGCGTGAGTGAAATTATGTAAGTCATGGTGGCAAATGGTCTCTCATTAACAAGCTGCTAGTTGAGTTCCTAGACATGCACAAGCATAAATCAGCATCACAATTCTGGCCAAAGGCTTTGTCACCACATATATGTAGTATCATTCTATGGAGTGCATCATATCCCTGTCTTTCCCAATACAGGTGGTAACTCACTGACTTTGTTTGATGGGTTACCATGCCCATCTGGGTGATGAGGATTATATCAAATGTTTTTGGTGCCTGACACGTCCTATACTAGGTCTTCAGGATTTTGTGAGAGAACCAAATGAGCAAATTTTAAAGAGTTAATTGTAGTTTACAGTCTGATACTATTATACTTGGATGAATTTCTTTAACACTTGAAATATTTACCTTTAATTTACAGGTATTATGGAACAATAATACCCATGCTTTGGTGCAATTTGACCACTTCATTATTAGAATGGGGACTCTTCCATGTAAGAAGGCATTTAAACCATTAGAATTTTGTCTTGTATTATGTTTCTGACTTTATGCTAAGTTTGTACCTGAATATCTCACCTGAATTTGACATTAACTTCCTGAATATTTTTCTTACACAGAAATTCAAGCATACCTGGAACAACTTGATCTAGATATACTGCCAGGAGCAGATACAGCATACTGTCAAGGGCCAGTAGCAAGAGGGAAATAACTAATGGATAAGGACCATGGGTTAAGTTTGAGAAAGACGTTCCTTCTTCGTAATCTTCTAGGTGCATAACCTGAAAAAATACAGAAACTTATGCCTTACTTTATCAAAAGCAGAATTTAGAAAAAAAAATAGCTAACACCAAATCAAAATCAACAAAATTTTACCATATCAAATCAATAAAACTTGTCACATGATGGCTATATGATAGCAATACATTTTGTTGAACTCTTTGCAGTTATTATACATTTTGAAACTTATTAATTGTAATTATCACCACCATGTACTCTATGTATACAAATCCATAACTATTATGCCCCCTGTGTCTAAAGAAGTGGACTGTAATCCCCAAAAGTGCTCACTGAAATCCATTCGTATTTAAAGTGCCATAGCCTTTTTCTTTCTGTTATACATGGCTTTGCATAGAAATCTTCACCTCTCCCCTGCTTGTTTCTCCATTTTTGCCCTCCTTGGACTGGCCTTTTTTCCTCGTTCCCATTCCTCCTCCCCCATTTCTTTCCCCATGCTACATCCTTTTATTGTCCTTCCCTGGCACTGCCTCCAAAGAAGATAGACTCTGGTATTTCTGCATTACTAGGCAATAGCTTGATGGGTGACATTGCTGGAATGCGAGGACTGGGCACACCAAGACCATCGTCTTTTGCTGGCTGAAGAGAGATGTGTCAATTATGAATTTTAATAAAAATTTTATGCAAGGGAAAAATAAGACATTCAAATCGAGTACATTTTATAACACTGAAAATGTAAAAAGCATGTAATGGACATTCAAAATGTATTGTACTGTCTGAATATAATATCAGTAGATTGCATCATCTAGATGTACTCAAGTGGAGGGGGCTGCTACACAGCCTGCCTGGCATAGGAAAATATCTGGTTCATAAAGAAATGTGGAGCTTAGCAATTAATGATAAATTAACATTTGAAATGAAAATAAGAAGAGTAATGGTAAAGTCTAATTATTTCAAAAATGTATGGAATTTATACTTGGAGTATGTCTTTTTGAAGTGGAAAGGCTATATGCCAGCAAAAGAATCACTGTATTTTTAGAGAGGTATGGGTAGGTGGGGCTCGTCAGCCATGGAAGGCAGCCCATCTAGGAGAAGGAAAACTCCGATTTCAAACCTCCACTGCCTTGTGGCTATATCCACCAATGGAAAAGGCTTCAGGAGTTAACCTCGAGGCAAAATCCGGAGCTGGAGTCCCGAAGGCAGCTCGTGTCGTTCTGCCAACTCCTGCGACATTGCTGGAACCAGTCGTATTGGCTCTTGCCTTTCCATTGGACCATTTCAGCAATGTGGAGAGGGGGGATCTGCTGCTTGGGTAACAGCCTATCCTCCATATTACCTTACCCAGGCTTCATGCTCTGGAGAGGACACTCCTTGATTCAGAGCATGTTACCATAGTCTCTCGAGACTGAAGGATGCCTATGTGGGGTGAAAAGAGTTATAAACTGATATTATTGGTCACCTAATCCCAAGGGTGAAAGTGGCACGGGTGGGAAAAGTTCAATGTGTATTGCTTGTAGTCACTATTTTGTATTTTAGTTTTAATTTTGTTACTTGTAATCTTTCTTTTATTAATTTAAAAAAAAATTAAAAGAGAAAAAATTTGGTTCAATACATTGCTTAGATAGAGATTAGTGCATGTTGACATTTCAGACCCATGGAAAAGCTAGAGTCCCATAACATATTGTTTTGACTATGTAGAACATCAAGAGATAAATACAGCAAACAAAGATTTCTACCATGTTTAGGGGACATCTCAAAGGATACACGAACCTTTACGCAAAAAAGGGGGAGAATCTGTTTGACGTGAGTGAAAATTATGAAATGTTATTTGACATTTATTATAGTTTATGCCATGCTCAGCTTTGTTTTTACAAATAATATGTACTGGAATAGAGATTTTTAAGTGACTTGTACGAGAGTTTATGTATTATTTTATTAAGAAAATAGCCTTTTTACTAAGAAAATAGTCTTAATACTGTATCTTATGAAGTACTAAATGTAAGTTTTATACCACTTGAATAGAAGTTCACACTTTTAGTAAATCCTACTTTTTTATAAATTAAAAATGCTATCTACATATACGAACTAGAACGTTTTTGTATTACAGGACTGTGAATTTTGCAATATATAGTGGTGCCTCGCTTGAAGAGGATAATTCGTTCCGTTGAAATTGCTGTTAAGCAAAATCCCCATCAAGCGAAATGAAAAAGCCCTTTGAAATGCATTGAAAACAGTTCAATGCGTTCCAATGGGCTAAATACCTCAGCGTCCAGCGAAGATCCTCCATAGGTCGGCCATTTTCGGTGCCTGTAAAGCGAGGAATCCATCCTGAAAACACAGCGGGGAGCCATTTTGCACAGTGGGCGGCCATTTTAGAGCTCCCGATCAGCTGTTTCAAAATTGTCGTTTCCCGAAGCAGGGAACCGATAATCATTAAGCGAATTTTTACCATTAAAACATTGTTTTGCGATTGCAAAAACTTCATCATCAAGCGGTTTCGTCGTTTCACGGGGTAATCGTTAAGTGAGGCACCACTGTATACTCATTTAGCTTTATAGACTCCAAGATATTTTACATGTTTGGTCTTTTATTCACATGATTACTTGTTTTCTAAATAAATATTTTAAAGAAGAAAATGATTTGTTTTTGAATTTTTAAGTCAAAATTCTTAAGGGTACCCAGGGAGGAAGAACTGAATGAATATAAAACAAAGTATAAAATCTTGTGACCACAATTAAATTCCTTGTCAGATGTGTATAAAACACTAATCTCACAGGGAGTCTGTAATAAGAAGGTAAAGTCATTCAGATACTCCTCTGTGGAATCTGACAAACATGCACCAGTCATAATGTTGTAACCAAAGCCAAAAACTTAGAAAACCTTTCAACACCCACTATATCCTGTGTGCCAATAGTAGCATTGTTGGTTTCATGTCTAATATAGCATGCTAGCAGCTAAATAAAATGCTTTACTAACCTGTGCAACACCAACCAAAAATGTGCACTGACATAGAGGGCTCAGGAACCACACAAAGGACTTTGGAAAATCCTCCAGCAGGACAATTGTCAGGCCCACAAAACCGAAAGCCAAGGTTGACAGAAATTCGACTGTACCAACATGTTTTGATCTTTTGAAAAGTGGAGTCAACATAAATGCAAATAAAACCTGAACAGAAATGGAACAATTATTTTAATAGAGACACTTAAAATCACTTTTTTCATGTTAATGATTTGTTGTTGTTGTTTCAACAATTATTTGTTCAATACCTATAATAGGCAATATAAATATAACTGATGCAGAAAATCAACTGCTTTATCAAATTAAGTGCTTTTTCTTAAGAGAATTGTCTTAAAATATGTTTATTGTCTCATTTTGGTTATTATATCTGAGTAAAAATAAAAAAACAATAGAGTATTATGGCCTAAATCCAACTTGATGCTTTTAGAACTATTGAGATTTGTGGGGGGTCTCTGACTGGAGTAAATATGTTCTGGAAGGTTTTTCAGCTCACCAGAAAATGTCTTTGGAGTGCCTCAGGGTTTGTGGCACGGAGGCTCCCTCTATTACTTACACTGGGTTTCATTCTTGCACAAGTGAAGGCACAACACTGGATATAGCCTTATATTCTTATTATATGATTTTTTAAAAAATGATCAACCAATAGTGAAAAACAGTGTTTCTTTTCAAAAATAACACCTTGCAAATATGATTCTGGACTGAGAAATACGTAATTTAAACTGGTCAGACATAATGTCATTTCAGATCACAATGTCATTTTCATAGTTGTACAAAGATCACAAAATATGGGCAAAAATACAAAGATTATAAAACCTAATCAAAAACTAATTAAGATTTGAGTACCAATCATTTGTATCTATTATTATTGTGTAATCAGAATATCTGGAACATTACTTTCACAAGGCAACAAACAGTTAATCACCACATACATATCAATATCATCTTAGTCCACTAAAAACAGCGGTAATTATGCTAAGATGACCTGCAATGTTACTACTGGGCATTTAAGAATAATACTTTATAAAGTTTTTCAATTTGACAAAGGAAGGCTGTGATTAGAGCAGTTAAATTTTACATTGGTGGAAAGGGAACATTTGTGTTATTAGTAGCCATTTCAATGCATTCAACATAAAATGATAAATAATGTCCACCAAAATATATAAGCAGATGCATTTTAGACCGCTTATGCGATGGGTTAGGGTATCTAGTAACATTTAGTGCAGAGGAAAATATATCATAAATTATCAGTACTTAAGTATTTCTACAACACAATACTCTCAGTACTCACAGTATACTGACAATGAGCACATACATACACACTTACGGAGGATATTCCATATAGGAAAAAAAGAAGAAATATCACAAAGCTGCTACTTTTGGGAAACAGCCAAGAGAATGTTGCAATGATCGACATGAGAAGGGACATGACAAATATCAGACTGGTATACAGTAGGACCCAAGAAAGCCTAGAAAAAGGAAAAACACAATGAAGAGTCATGCATTCAATGTCATCTGTACAATTAAAGACAGATTATTTAATGGTAGTTCTTTGAATGAGCAACTGTGCAATCTTAGGTCTTTCACCTAAGAAGATTGTTTTGATCATTTTACAGCTTTAGTCAAAGAACTGATGCTCTTGGCTCTCTCCTTGAATAATGAGGCAAATCTCTTTGAGCATGTTCTGAGGGTGACTACCTTCCCAGAAAACTCCCCCTTTGCAATGGGACAAAAGCAAAGAAGGATGTTGGGTTGTGACACTGCACAGATGACCACATGAAGAACACAAATTACATTTAAGCAAGCTTTATTTCTTCTTCACTGCCCCTATGCAGGTATGCAACTGGGTGAATCTAAATTAGTGTACCAAAACATATAAATAATTATCCAATTCTGTGAAAACAGAACACAACAATCCTTTGAACATATAGATTTTCTAAAGTATGATTGATCACAAGAGAAAAAGGTAAATGATGATTAGAACACAAGCTATGAACTGAATGTGCTGTATTAGCTATACTTTGCCTATGATTGTGCCAAAACAAGGAAATCCAGAAAGTCAAAGATGGCCTGCAGATTTGTTGGGAGTTTCCCAAAGAAGCCAACTATGAAGAGCCAGTGTCTCTACAGGGAAAGATGAGGAACAACTCCTCAATATGGAAAAATGGCTACTACACCAAAGAATGTCTTAAAGGTTCTCAATGCTGCTCGAGTCCAAAAGGCAAATGTCAATGATCACAGCAAGTGTTTCCACTGGCAGAGCACAGGAATTACAGGTATTGTGGCTTTGTATCTACACAAAAACAAGCATCTTAGAGTTCAATGAAGCAAATTAGGTAGAACTGCTGGGGAGCTGGAGTAGCAAAAGACCATATGGATAAATGGATAAAAATGTTTATATAATGGAGTGTTAACTTAGGTTTGTACTTCTGTACGAAATAGTAGAGGAGTTAAAACTATAAAGATCTTGATTCGATAGAATGACTTCCTTTTGCAAGTAATTGTATGTGCCAAGCAATGTACACAGAATAAAATGGATGCTCCTGTTGTGGACCAAAGCCCGTTCCCTGTTTTTGGTCTCCGTCAAGGAATCAGGCAAGACGTGACTAGCTGAACCAAAGTCTTATTTTATTGAATAATTGATAAAAAGTCAGCTGGGACTTCTCTTAAAGGCAGAGAAGACCCCAAAAATACAGTGTACAAGTACTTTATAACATAACAAAGAAAGAGCCATAAAGTTCTATAATATCATTGGCTAACATTTTCCTAAATTTTGGATCCTAGACATAATTGGATACTACTGCAAAGGTTACAAAAATATCAGTCCCTTATAGATATATGTAAGATACCCAAATTCCCCTTTTGACCTTCCTTGGGGATGTGCCACAGTGTCTGGAGGAATTCATATTCCATCTTCCTTATCTACTGATATGTTTATGTTGCCTTCCTGGGCCTAAATGTATGGCCTTCAATCTCCGGCTCTCTGCTGGCTTTATATTTCAATATCTTCACTTTGTGTTCTGGCAACATTCCTAGGCATGGCCATCTGCTAGTTCAAAGGTAAATGGGTGGAAGGTGAGAAACAGAAAAGCCATCTAATATTGATGGTTACATTCTTTGGTAAAAGACAGAATGTCTTTCTTATTCTAAATTTGTGATTGTGCATAGTCAGTATCAATCCATAAGCACTGACCTTGTGGAAGCATATGAAACTCAATACTGCACTCCTAACTCAGAATAGAGAAAACCCAGTAGAAAATTCATATGGTAAAATTTATCTCATGCTGAAATTTCTGTTTCATTTTAATACTGGTTCTCCAGCTTTATTAGAAGTGCTATTCTATTGCTGAAAACTGCCTTGGGGGCCTTTTTGAGAGCTCAAGGTTGGTATATAGATAATTCTACAAATGAAATTGGCCTTCCCCATCACATAGGAAGTCTTCCTATGTAATCATGTCCTGGGAAGGGGAACTGGTTCCTATCAAGTCTAATCTGGCCTAAGAAGTCTATCTGGTCACTGTAAAGTCCTGGGAAGTTTGCTAGAAACTCCAAGTGTGAGTTTTCAGTGAAGCAGCTACGTCAATCTGTTTCAGAAAAAACAAAAGTGCTGTAGCATTTTAAGACTAACAAACTTATTTCAGTGTGACATTCCAAGGATTACAATCCACTTTTTCAGACACCTAAACCCTTTTCCAACTGGGAGACTGGCTTATCTCATAAGAGAATATCTGAAACCAAATAGTTCCTTGCCTGTGACGTAATCTTTAACCATGTATGTCTCTGGAGGCTGATCTGAATATCCAGAAGCTTCAAACTGTAGTCAGCCAAATAATGTGTTAGTTTGCCATCTCCCCAACTTTAGCAAGCTATCTGAAATATCTTGGCTAATCTTTTTCCTTTCTTCACATAGAACATCAAAAGGCATATTATCATGAAGATAAGCACAATCATGGAAGCAGCTGCCAGAGAATAGAGAAGTGCACTTCTGAATCTGCTTGTGTGTCTGCTCATGTGTCAATCCCATGTGGCTGGACCTCTCAATTTTATTGCAGACTCTTCTTGGATTGCCTTCCTGTACTTTGAAAAGTTATGGCCCATAATGTGAGAGTAGCTAAAGGAGATAACTTTGAGGCATTGGCTTCAGGGGTCATTCTTCTTCATCAGTTGGCACCAAATCAGCAGTTACTTTCCCTTTAAGATTTTTATTCCTCATTAGACTGAAACCACCTCTAGCATCTGGTACGTTTTTTTTTTCAGAATAAACAATAATAGTTTGACCCTATGGGCAGCATAGGGAGGGCTGGACTTTTTTTTTTCCTTTTCAAAGTACGGTAACAACTTGTGCACAAGGTCGGTTAAAGATGCAGACTCATGCTGTATGTTAAGACCAAGGAATTAAGTCGCTCCTTAAAGCTACTTAATTTACACAGATTTGCAATGGGCAATATAGACGTGTCAACTCTGTATGTATGATGAGGGGAGGAGTAAGAGACTCAATCCTCTTCTTACATCCCAGATTCTTGCCCCAAGAACTGGATTCTGTTCATGACTAAGCTTATTTAGGAGATATTAATCAGGGCACAGCACATCCATTTGCTGAGGAAACTCTCCCAGCCAGAGTTTCTATAGTAAGGAACATTACTGCTTGAACAAAAAAGGAAATTGATGACTTGTTAATGCCTCCTTGAGCCTTTCAAAAGTTTTATTATTTGTTATGACAAATTCACTCAAAAGGTTACCAAGAATGTTTGCTTAGTTATCTTATCTATACTAAGCAGTCTGGAAGAAGAAGAGATACCAGACGAAACACAAGGTTGAAAGAAATGTAGGGAGCAACTTTCCTTTCCTTTCTATTTATGAGCCTTAAAGTCTCTGACTGAAAAAGGGAAAGCATCCTTCAGTTCTAATATTTGAAGCTATCCACTTTAACACTAGGGGAACAAATATCAGCAAGAACAACAAAAAGAGGACACAAGGAAAGGAGTTAAGTAAAGTCTGGCTATATCTTACTTTTCTTTGAAAGGCTTCCTATTTCCATCTAAGAGACAAATGTTTATATTCTTCTGCCTTTTGATTTTAGCAAAAACTGTGAAGTGAAAGGCTGTAGTTTAACTGGTTGAATAAAATGTTTTGGGTCCAGTGTCCTGTTCAACACTTCTTTGTGCGCAGAGAGTGCAAACTGCAGAAGTTGTTGCAGAGATATGAGAAGATAATAATCAAGTACAACTAGGCACATAAACCATAGCTCTTCAGATTGCCATCGGGACTTTTGCAGCTGTGAGTTCTGTATGCATAAATATTAAACAGGGTCACCATGCCAGCTGGAATACTATCTTTTACTTCACAATTTTTACCAAAGACAAAATGGTCTAAGTCAGAATCCAAACATTTAGTCTAAAATAGAAACCTCACCAAAGAAAAGGAATCCTAGTAATACACAAATCTGTAAGTTTCGGTTTCTCTCCATTTCACACATAATTTATTTATATCCAGTTTTGCGTCAGTTTGCTTTTTTAAAAAATATGAACATTTGTAGGCATTTTAGTGCTTCTCTCCTAATATGCATGTTTGTGCACATAATTGTATTTAATACTGTGCATTTTCTGGCCAGTATTGTTTTGCAGCTCTGCTCACACAATCTGAGACATCATCAGCTGTAGCAGACTGCTGCTAATTAGAGTCCCTTTTTCAACTTCAAGGTACATGTAACATTGTATCATGGATTTCTATGACATTTTATATTTTCTCTGCAATCTACACTTAAACCCATACACAAATTTAATATGTTTACGAGTATTCTAGCCTTTCACACCAGATTACTCATAAACATATTCACACCCACCCATAAGATCAAACACAGGTTGAAGAAAAAATGGCATGTCATAGAAAACATCCTCCTACATGTTATGCACACTCTGAACTGAGAAAGGAACTCTTCAATTAGCAGGGGTTTTTTAATTTTCTCTGAAAATATTGCATGAGAAACTAGTCTAGGTGATCCAAGACCTGTTGAGATGCCATCTAATCCAAACTGAAACAGTGAAGAAGAAATTGGAATTCATGCTTTTCTTCACCAAACTCAATGTAATCTTTTGTTTCTGAGCCTGTGGTGATAGGCAGTTAAGAAGAACTGGTAACCCAAGAGAAATGGATTTGCAGCAATCATATCCAGGATCTGCCATGCTATTTGTGCCTTTTTTCTTCAGGAGAAAAGGAAGTAATGCCCGTAAAGAGTCTAACGTCTACTCCTATCTATGGCAAATCCAATCTAGTACAAGGCAAAGCAAGTATTTTCCCCCACTGGCCCTTTCTTATTGTATAAATCTTCCTGAAGGCCATTTTGGATTAGATTGTGAGCAGAATGGATAAAAATCAACAGTTTTTAAAAAAATCAAATTGATTTAAATCACAATTATAAATCATTTAAAAAAATTCAATCATGGTTTAAATCAGTGGTTCTTAACCTTTATTACTCAGGTGTTTTTTAACTGCAACTCCCAGAAAACTCTTCAATTAGCAGGGTTTTTTTAATTTTCTCTGAAAATATTGCATGAGAAACTAGTCTAGGTGGTTTAAATCAAACCAGTGGTTTAAATCAAATCCACCCTGTGAGTGAAAGAGAATGAACTGAACAGGCTCAGTAAGTGCTGAGACTGAATGAAAGTGGGCTGATGCCCTTCATTTAACATAGGGAGAGGGACACTGAAACACTAACATCTACTACTGACCAATTCTAGAAAATGTTGCAGACAGACAAATGCAGGTGAAGTCACTTATGTTTCCCAAAATGACAAGGTAACTTTGCCTCTACTTCCTGTCCTGAAAGTCATTAAACCTCACCTTTCACCATCACCCAGCTAACCCAATCTGTGTGAAAAGGACGAATGAGGAGATTCTCATCTGGAGTTATATAGACAAGGTAGTAGTTATGAGAAGCTGTGTGGAGCAGTTGTGTGTAGTTGTGTAGAGAAGCTGCCTGTGGTGGGAGAAGTTCTAAACGCTATTGAACAGCTTCTTCTACCTCAGGCTTGGTGAGAGAGCTAAAGTCGAGAGAAAAAGGCAGCCTCCTCCACAACAAATGATTAAGAAGAAAATTTAAGTGAAGAGTGCCCATTTCACATGACCCCATTTCCAATTTATTCAGCTCCTCTATATGACTGAGTTTCCTTCCCTTTTTTAATAGGATGGGGATGAGGGTGAATGCAGAGAAAACAAAAAATTACTGATGGCAAGAAATTATCTTGGGAATTATGGGAAACCCCACTGCTTTTCAATCTTAATGGGAAATTTTTCCTGGACTGGTCCCCAATGCTGTTAGCAAGCTTCTGGGCCATCCCTCTCTTAAAGAGAAAACTCAGAGTTAAAATATGTTAGTACCTTTAACTTATCTGCTGTTAAAAGAACTGGATTTTGACAAGTGCCAAATGAAAAAGGCACTAAAAATATTCATCTGAGAATAGGAATAAGAGCTGAATTTTTAGGGACATGATTTTAACTGTTTGGGTATGTGGTGATACAGGCAGCAGTTCTTCCTTCTCTTTTCTTACATTAAAAAATAACAATGATACAAGTTCGGCTCTCTTGGCAGTTGGTTTTTTCCCATCCGGAAAGGTCTTTCTGAAAGGAAGAAAGTAGCTGCCAAAGGGCCCCCCAATTTTCCCTTCAGAATACCTCAGCATTATGTAACTTTCAGGCCATTCTGATGGGAAAAGATAATTACCAATTAGTGGTCACTGAAGGGAGTTTCATCATGCTCAGTCAAATTTTTTAAATAATAAATGTACTAGCAATAATCCCCCTACTCATAAAAATCAATTCCTGTAAACACCCTCCTATTTGTAAAAAGGTAAACAGAGGGTCAACTCCCTCTTAGCGGCATGCATGGAAACACTTCTGAAAGCACACTGACATACAAGGGATACTAACCATTTATTCTGTTTATATTGTATCAAATAATAAAGACACACACTCACCAAAAAGCAGTGTCATGAAGACCCATGATCATTAAAAATTCCTTCAGTTTCTTCTCCTTTTCTGCCACAATGTGGATTGCCAAATAACAACCAAATGGTGAAAAGGCAATTACTAGGTAAATTAAAATAATTGCACGAGGAAAATTGTCTATTTCCATCACAGCAGACTCTCCCATCATGATAGCTTTTGTTTCTTCCAGCACTTCCAAAACGGAATGATTGGTCTTTAACTAAGTTTTTTTGAAAAATCAGAAAAACATTAAACCGTTAGCTGCTACTAATTTTTTTAAAAAATCAAGGCCACAAAAGCAATTCTGACAATGGGCAAAATCCTGTTGCATAAATGTGGCAGCATAACCTGGACTGGGCACAGGAAGTGTTTAATTTGAAGTAATTAAAACTATCTACAGTATTCCTTTCCTTTTATGATCCAAGGCATCCTTTTGGCCTTGGAAAGCCTTTAGGAGTCTCAGGATGGGAACCCTTGGTGATCCTTGGAACACTGCCACCAGGATTGGGCAACTAGTGGTGATCTAGCAGCAATTTTCTACTGTTACAGGCTCCTTCCCCCCACTGGCACTTTAAATTAAAGACTTCCAGTGCACAATCTGGGTTATGCCATGCAATGCTATACCAACAGGAGTTTGCTCAATATTTGTTTGCTACCTAGCTTACACATCTAATTCAACTAAATGGCTTCAAACTCAAAAACAACTTGGAGTTTTATATAATTATAATCCCAAATTGCTGTCCCATTAACAATACCAACCATAATGTTAACATATTGGGGTCCATAAAGAAAAAATGGGCTCAATTAAAAATAAAGATCTCATAACAAAACAAATACACATTCCAAGATATAATACGAGTAGCCAGGTATTACTGAGATTGAACATATTTTCCAAAAAGGTGTATCACAATTACATATATGCTAAAACAAATAATTTTACTATATAATGAATGCATTTAAAGAGTAATCACTAAAAAACTAAGAACTGTTCTAGCACCGTGAATGTGAAGACTCAATTTCTGGCATTAAAATTAAATACCTGTGATAGGGAAACTAGAATAGAAATCAGATACACAGAGAACCCACAGAGAGCTACTTTTTCTTTTAGGCCAATTCTAATTTCAGGTAATTGACAACTGAATCCTAAACACTGTCGTTGTATGGTTATTCTGCTATATTTGTTTTTCAAAATATTGGGCACACTTCCATCAGATCTCTTGCGGATGAAAAGTGGTGTACACATTTTAAAAATATTTTTCTAAACTGACTTTAATGGGACTTACTTCCAAGTTAATCTCTACAAGGCTAAGATATAAAACTGTAATCCTATACAGACTTATCTGGGACTTCCATTTAGCTCCAGGTAACTTATTTATTCAAGCACACAAATGTATTTAGCTAAAACACAAAGTAGATTTATAAAAATTCAGTCAATAAATTGCAAAGAATATTAATCAGCAAAATAAACTATCCCACATATTCTACCAGTATACCATTAGACTGTTCGCTGAACATACATTTTCATTGTTACAATGAACACTAAACAACATGAAAGGAATACCTGTGGTTTGTAACACAGTGATTTAAATTATGATAAAAGGAACCCACAACACCCATTCTTCCTTTTCCTTAGAGCCACAACATACATTTGTGTAACTCTTTTGGGCATCTCTCTCAGGGGAAAAAAGTTATTTTATATCACACTAATCTCTGGCATTGATATCTTTATGGAAATTACTATATAATTGTAAGGTTTTGTGAAAATGGCTACTGTTAGTGCCATTTTTAATTCAGGAAAAAAATGAACTCAGTTACAAAGGAACAGTCTTTCATATAAAATCTGTTTCAAAACAATGATGTTTTGGTGGCTCTCACAGTCTAATTATTTAGATATACCTGTATTATTGCTGCATCAATGCACATCTGCAGAGCTGTGAATCCATAACGCCAGTATTTTTCAGCTTCACATATCTTGGAAGGTCTTGGACAACTGGCTGAAGTAAATGAAATTATAAAAAGACAACCTCAACTTAATTTGCTGGTTAACTATTCACAAATGTCAATGTCAAAACAGTCACATTAAGACTGGTTTGACATTAGGTTTCTGCATTAAACTGGTGGCCACATTAACGACAGGACCACATGGTCAAATACCATGGAATTTGCTACACTTGTAAAACTGACAAATTTGAAATATATTTTACTGACCGCATGACAGAAAGGCTGATTTGAATTGGTCCAGGCCTTTTTCCTCCCAGAGCAGGTGACATGGGCAGTTGGGATGTGATGTTCAAGCCCAGGGGAACATACAAAAGCGGAGCACCATGATTTAGAAGTGGGAGACTGGGTGCTAGTCCTGAATCCTGTCAAACACGGCAGGCTTCAGATTGTCTGGGAAGGCCCCTTTGTTGTGAGGCAAAAGCTTCATGCTGTTAATTAACAGGTCTGAAAATGTACTGGTTTGTCATGGCAATAATTTTAAACCATATGTGATCAGAGATGAGGCAATTCCTCACATGTTACTTGAAAGTAAGAAAAAATAATAATGGATGGGATGGGGAAGGTGGTATCCCTGTTATGGAATCATTCTGACATGTGAATTATGATGTATTTTGCAAAACTACTGTTCAAACTTTTAATGTTCTGTACTATTATACTGTGAAATAACTTTCCATTTTAATTTTTTTATGGAAAAGTTTTTGAGAGATGTAGTAGTCTAAAACTTTATGATAATGGCTTTATAGCAAACAATAAAAGGATCAGCAGTGGCAGCACCAGAGGAAGGATCAACAGAGACAGGACCAGATGAAGGAAGGAAAGGAACGAGGGTGGTGGACTGAAACTTGCATTCTTTTCTATATGAATGGTGAACTTCTGATTCAATCTGCAGCCCCTGTGTGAGCACTGGTTATGATTTCAAACATTATAAATGTTTTGAATCAAATCACAGTATAGTCACACCCTAAGCTAAGTTATGCTGGCAAGAAAGACGGGTTACGTACCTGTAACCATGGTTCTTCAAGTGGACCTCTATGAATTCACACAAAAGGGTTAAATCGGCGCCTGCGCTGGACCTCTCGGAATTTTCTAGAGCTTAAAGATAAAAGTAACAAAGTTTTAGGTTGCCCCTATAGCACATGCTCTGCCCACCTCAGCCTTCAGTTCCATTGATCTGCCACCAAAGCCTGAGCTTATCTAGACTTAGTCAGTGACGGATACTGGGGAGGCTGGGCAGGACTGTGTGAATTCACAGAGGTCCACTTGAAGAACCATGGTTACAGGTAAGTAACCTGTCTTTCTTCATCGTGGCCTCTGTGACTTTTGCTAGTCACAAAAGGGTGACTAGCACGCTCACTTACCGGAAGGAGGGCCGTCACTGAAGAATGGACGTCAAAGCTGCTCTCCCGAAACTTGTCTCCTTCTTAGCCCTGAGGTCTAGTCTGTAATGAGTTATGAACGTGGACACATTAGACCATGTAGCAGTTCTACATATGTCAGGCACATCAATACCATGTAGCAGGGCTGTGGATGTAGCAATGGCTCTAGTTGAGTGAGCTCGAAGACCTTCAGGTGGAGTTTGACATTGAAGCTCATATGCTAGTGAAAGGGTGGAGACAAACAATCTGGAGAAAGTTGACGATGAAGGTGGTGAGCCCTTCTTCCGCCCATAGAAGCACAGAAACAGTCTATGTGATGCCCGGAACACCTGGGTACAGGAAACATAAAAAACCAGAGCATGTCTGACATCTAAAGTATGAAGCATACGTTCGGTATCCGTGCTCAGTTCAGGAAAGAGAGTAGGTAATACCAGCAGTTGATTAAGATGGAATTCTGTGACCACCTTAGGAAGAAATTAAATATTTGGGTGAAGTACCACTTTGTCCTTAAAAAATTGCAGGTATGGCTGGTCAGACCTAAGGGCTGCAAGTTCACTGGCTCTTCGAGCAGATGTAGTGGCCAACAAGAACAGAGATTTGAAAGATAGTAAGCGAAGATCACATGTGGCCATGGGCTCAAAGGGTGGTCGCATAAGAGCATGGAGAAAAAGTTGTAGGGACCACTGAGGTGTCGGTGGCTTTATTGGTGGCCTGATGTTAGTTAGTCCTTTGAGGAAAGACTTCAGAGTAGGATGGGAGAATAACCTTGCCGAGTCTGAGTCTTTAGGTTGGAAAGAGACAATTATGGCAATGTAGACCTTGAGAGTAGAAATGGTCAGATTATGATCAAAAAGGTAAAGTAGGTACTGAAACAAGGTACTTATTTATTATTATATATTTATTTATTTTATTTATATCCCGCCTATCTGGTCAAGCGAGGACCACTCTAGGCGGCTAGAAATGAAACAGGAAAAGACTCGAGGTGTCTAGCATCTGCAAATTTTAGGAAGTTCCTCCACTTGTAGCCATATAAAAGGGTTGTGGACGGCTTCCGAGCATTATCTAGAACTTCCTTGATTGCGGGGAAATTCTCCACACTGTCAAGTGTAGAGTGTCTGGAACCAGATGGAGGACTCTGCCTGCATCCTGCGTAAGAAGGTGCAGTAGAGTTGGCAGTTTGATGAAGTCCCAGGCCATCATCCGCAGAGTGGCAAACCAAACCTGACGAGGCCAGTAAGGTGCAATTAAGATTGCTTCAGCCTTCAGTTGACAAAGTCTGATCAGAGTCTTTTGTACAAGTGGAAGTGGTAGAAATAGGTACAGCAGTTCTGATGTCCAAGGGATCATGAATGCATCCCTGCAACCTGCCCTTGAGGCATATAGATCGCATTTCTTGTTGAGCTGGCTCACGAACATGTCCACTCTGGGGGTTCTCCATCGATGACATAGTGTGGCATAAACCTCGTTGTCCAACTCCCAATCATGAGTCTCGCCTGTCAGACGATTCAGCTTGTCTGCTAGTTGGTTTTCCGTTGTTGAGACATGTATTGCAACTGGGAAGATGTGGTGCTGATAGCACCATTCCCAAAGGTATATTGCTAGGAATAGAAGAGATCTGGAGTGAGTCCCTCCCTGCTTGTTGATATAATACATGGTTGTGCTATTGTCGGTGATTACAGTGGGGTCTTGACTTAAGAACGGCTTGAGTTAAGAACATTTTGACTTAAGAACCACTCTCATAGGAAAATATTGACTTGACTTAAGTACTTAGATTTGAGTTAAGAACTGAAAAAAACCCACGTGGGAGGCAGGGAAAGTGCAAAATTTAAACTTTCAGCTAACTGTTGGCCAGTGAAAAGGGTGCCTGTCTGCTTCCTCACTCCTCCCAGCGTTTACAGAGTGGATTGGGAGACAGTCTTCAGACTGCCTGGTACTGTACTGCCTGGACTGTATTTTCCCTGCCTTCCCTGAACCTTTCTTGACCTAAGAAAAAAAAGAAACAAAATATTCCCCCTCTAGTGGTCGAAGGCGGAATAGCAGGTTCCCATTAGTTTCTATGGACGGAAAAGAGCAGATACGGATCAAATGGTTTTCAATGCATTCCTATGGGAAATGCAGATTTGACTTGAGAACGTTTTGACTTGAGAACCGCCTTCCAATACGGATTAAGTTCTCAAGTCAAGACCCCACTGTAGTTGTCGGTGATTACTTGTATACCACGACCCTGTATCAGGGGTAGAAAGGCTCTGAATGCCTTTATAATGGCCAGAATTCCCAGATGGTTGATGTGGAGAGTTTTGTCTTGATCGGTCCATAGAGTATGTACTTGGTGTTGTCCACAATGTGCTCCCCATCCTGTTGGGCTTGCATCTGTTGTCACTTGTACTGTAAGTTGAAGATGTTTGAAGGGACGACCTATTAGAAGATGAGGAGGGAAAGTCGACCATTGGAGCTGTTGAGCTAGCTCTGGTGATACAGTGAGACGTTTCTTTTGGTGATCTTTCATGGGGTTGAAGATAGTCAGAAACCGTTTGAAGAGATCTCATTTTCAGGTGGGTGTGTGCCAAGGCAGGTGTTGTAGATGCCATGAGGCCAAATAGGTGCTGGGCATGCTTTGCAGAGACTTTTGAGCCTGGTCGAAATTTGCTGACAGCTCTTTGTATCTTTTCGATGAGTTGTGGTAGTAGAAATATTCGACCCTTGATAGCATGCAGTCTGGCACCTATGTAGTCCCATTTGTGATGGAGTGAGATGCGACTTCTTGGCATTGATTGACAGGCCGAGACTCTTTAACATGTGGAGTATGAATTTTGTGTCTTTCAGAGCTTGGCTTCTCGAGGGCGAAACCACCAGCCAATCGTCAATGTAAGGATAAACCTGGATTTTTTGGAGATGCAGGTAAGCTGCAACGGGCGCCATGCACTTTGTGAATGTCCTTGGTGCCGTCAAGAGCCCCAATGGGAGAGCCTTGTACTGGTAGATGGTGTCTTGAAATACAAATTGAAGATACTTTCTGTGATTGGGGTGAATTGTTATGTGGAAGTAGGCGTCTTTGAGATCTATTACCACAAACCAGTTCTTTTTTCTCAAGAGGTGGATTATGGAGTCCAGTGTGACCATACGGAAACATTTTGCATGAAGGTGTGGGGAAATTGTATGCTTTTACAATGTATATGTCTGTGGCAATAGCAGACATTGTGCCAAGCGCGCAAATCACATATACAGTGTGCTAGCTTTCCTAAAGGATGATTCATTAACCTGCTTTGGTATCTAGGATAATTACCTGTCTTTGGGTAAATTGTATTAACTTACTTGTGTAGTTAAAGTGTTATCTGTCTCTGTTTACCCTGCTCTGTATTCAGGAATGTTTACCCTGCTTGTGTATTTAGGATTTACGTGCCTCTGTTTACCGGCCCCTCTGTTTACCATACTTGTGTATTCAGGATATTACCTGCCTGTGTTTAGAATGGTCACTGGTTAACTAGTGCAAAGGTAGTAGAGAACAATAAAAGGGGGGCGCGGCGACGGATAGGGAGGAATTCCCACTGAACAGCGTTGCACAGCATGCTGTTTAGTTCATCCGGATCCTGCCCTGAAACACACACTCGAGTGCTCGCCTCTTTCTTTCTCCTTGCTGGTCAAGAGGGGAAAAAAGCTTCATCTGCAGATCCCTAAAACTAGACTTCATCTGCAGATCCCTACAACAAGGCTTCATCTGCAGATCCCGACATGAAGGTAGGTGTTTAATGTTCTTAAATCTAGAATGGGCCTGATCCCCCCGTCTTTCTTTGGGACAGCGAAGTAACGGGAGTAAAATCTGTTTTTTATGTCTCTTGGGGGGACTGTTTGAATTGCATGTTTCTGTAGAAGAGTGAGAACCTCCTCCTCTAGAACAGGATTGAAAGACGTATGCTTGACCTGTCCTAGAGGAGGATATTCTGTAAATTCCAGCCAGTAACGGTACTGAATAATGTTTAAGACCCAGGAGTCGTTTGTTATGTCCATCCAATTTTTCAGAAAGGGAAATAGCCGAGTTGTCTGGTGATTCCATATTGTTATGGGAGAGTCAAAGATATTGTTTAGATTTCTTGGCAGGTGGTTTGTATGTCTGTTGTCTCTGTGATGATTGAGGGCAATAGTTAGAGGTGAAAGAAGATGTTTGAGATGATCTGCTTGGTGACTGGTTCTTGTAAGGTTTAAAAGGTTGTGAAGATTGTGAAGATTGGGTGTATTGTTTACACCACTGGTATTTATTGTATCAAGGTTGCTGCTGTATGGAGTATGATTTAGCTGCGTTTTTCATCTTATGCAGCTGCTCAAGGTTCCCATCTGTCTTCTCATTAAAGAGACCCTTGGCATCGAAAGGTAAGTTCTCCACCCTTGTTTTCACATCCTCCATGATGTTAGCAGCTCGAAGCCATGCATGCCATGACCGCTGACATGAGAATTTGAGATGCGGCTTCTGCTGCATGTCTGGAGGCCAATCTCTGATGTTTAGAAACTGTTTGGGCTTCTTCATAGTTGTTAAGGAAGCCCTGTCTGACTTCATCTGGTGTCATATTGAGTTCTGGCAAAATTCATAACCAAAGTTGTTTCTGATAAACACCCATCGACATTTGGTAATTCAGAACCCGAAGGAGGAAGGATATGAGGGAATAAATTTTTCTACCTTCCAGTTTCCTTCCCTCCCTATTGGTAGCATGCGCTAGAGATTTATCAGTAGGACGGGAGCAGCTAGTCTCCACTATCAGAGAATTGGGAATAGGATGCTTTAGCAGAAAATTAGTATCATCACCGTGCACGCAGTATAAATTTTCCGTGCATCTAGAAATAGGGTTGGAAATGGAGGGTTGGATCCAAAATTCCTTTATCAGATCCACCAAAGCCGGGATAAAGGTGAGACTAAGAGGCGGAGTCCTTTCTTGATTGATGACCCCAAAGATAAGATCTTCTGTGGGGGGAGTGGGTTGTTGTGTGTCCATCTTGAGGGTCTTGGCCATTCTGGCAATCCTCTGCACATATGATGAAAAGTCCTCAGATGGTGAAGAGGCATGAGTATCAGCAGCATCAGACTCTACCACCTCTCCTTCTGGAAGTTCATCCGCAGATAAATCATGCTGAGCATCCTCTTCTGGAGCAGAAGAGTCATGTGAGAACATCTCTTCCTGCTCAGATGTGGATGGTCCCTGACGATCTTTGGTACCATGCTTTTCGACGTCGTGGGAGGACAAACTTGTCTGCTGGGATGTTCTTATAATCGTCGACGTCAAAAACGGAGATGCAGGCTTTTTTGGAACAACCTGCTTTTTAAGATGTTGTGTGGACTTCTTCCTTTTCTCGATGTCGAGCCGGTGACAATGCCGATGTCTGGGCGGTGACATCGAAGGGAAGGAAGAAGAAGAAGCATAGACATATTTCACCTTCTTTTTCCTATGGTGGTCGCTCAACGTCGAGGAAGAATCGGAGTCGGAATAGTCCCTTCAACGTCGACGCTTCCTTTCATATTGGTCCGAATTGTTGTATTTATCTTTATGTCAATGCCAAGAGGATTGAGGGAGTACCACAACCTGGCATCGAGGAGATCTGTGTCGATCTGGGGCAATGTGTTTAGTTTTCTTCTGGCATTTCCGAGGTGGAGAAATTGGTGAGCGCACAAAAGATGATGAAGATGGAGCCGGAGACGCCCGCCCAGTCGAAACGGGGCTATTTGGGGCAGATGCCAAGCTTGCAGTGGCACGGGCAAGCTGGCATGGCGTTGGAGAAAGGACGCCTTCAGTAGGTACAGGCCTGATCTGTCGAGGAGGAAGTGATGGAGCTACCTCTGACATGGATTCTCGATCTCGAGAAGTATCTTCCGAGATAGGTGAAGGTACTGAAGCCGAAATCGGTGGTAATTGTTTATGGTGATCCTTTGGTTTAGTAGCCTTTGGCTTTGTTGTTTGCTTTAGGGCTTTGGCGGAGGAGCTCAGAGCTGCCTTCGACACCGATGCCGAGGACTTCCTATCAGCCGCAGTCTTTTTCGGAGGCTTATTTGAGGTCTTACTCAATGAGGATTGAGGTGAGGTGTTTCTAGCTTCAGAGCGGGGAGTAGCTGAAGAGGAAGAGATTTCCATCTCTGAAAGTTTAGAGGTGGAGTCTGGTTCCACAAATGATATTTCAGTCTCTGCTGCCTTGGTGAAATTTTTGAAATGCTTGCAAGAATTAGTGTGATGAGCCTCTCCTAAACAAAAAAGACAGTGATCATGCCCATCAGAAAAAGGCAGCTTCCTTGAACACAAAATACAGCGGCTAAAGGGTCTGGAGCAGGACATAAGCTGAGAAATAGGGGAAATAAAAGTCTTACTGTGGAAGTGAGGGAAGTCCGATGGCAGGAAAAAAAGGCGGGAAAACTTCTCCGAAGGCAAACAGTAAAAACAGTAGCAAGAGAATAGTCAAAAATCGGTCGGGTCAGAAAAAAAAACGTAGAAAGGCAATCCAAAATCATAAAGGCAATAAGCTAGAAGCAAGAGGTTCCAAACTGCGCAGCGGAGAAATGGAACTGAAGGCTGAGGTGGGCGGAGCATGCGCTATAGGGGCAACCTAAAACTTTGTTACTTTTATCTTTAAGCTCTAGAAGATTCCGAGAGGTCCAGCGCAGACGCTGATTTAACTCTTTTGTGTGCATTCACAGAGGTCACGATGAAGAACAAACAGGCTTAATGACTTGATGCTAGTGGATTATAAGTCTAGCATCCTATCAACACAAAACAGTACTAGGGAAAAAGTAGTATTTAATATTTAACTAAGAAAAAATAAAAGCAGTTTTATATATTCCATTAATATCCCATGTCCAAAAGACTGGCTCTTCTGAGTCAGCTTTAGCAAAAGCAAATAAGGGCTTGCCTACATGGCTGGGTTGAAAAGGGCAGGAACAGGCTAAACAGGGTAGCTAGGAGGTCTGGTATGCCATTTGGTGCAATCCTCGCACTCAAATGAAATATGGAATCAAGTGACTCTATTTGGTCCACTTTTTAAAAGTGTAGGTGTATTAGATATGTATATTACAAATGATCTTTAAGAAAACGGATTTATGTACATCTATATGTGTGTACTTATTACACCTCTCAAAGAGCTGTTTGAGAGCCTGCTACAGCCTAATACACATATCTAATGTACAGATACACTTTTTTCCATTGTTTAAGGGCTGGTTGAGGAACTGCCATGGTGGCAGATTCAGCTATGGGCAACCTCTTCACTGGCCCTTTAAGACAAGGGAAATAAAGTTTTAAAAAAATTCTAGGTGATGCACCACATTTTTATGGAGAGAAAAAAAGGAATATTTAATTAGCAAATATCCTGAAGTGGCTCTATTAAGCCACCTCAGGATACTGCCAAACCATAAAAGGAAGGCTTTTGGTTCATTCCCAGTGATAACATGCTGGAAACAAACCAAAAGAGAGAGATCTCACCCACACTAGAAACAGGAAAAGTCCTTGAGAGGGCCCAGAAAGCTGCAGGTAGGACCGCTCTGGGGCAGGCTGGTTGGCTTCAGCAAAGACATTGTTTGATCGTTGCCTTTAGAAGAAAACCAGTCTGTTCTTGCAGTGGACCAAGCAGCAGGCTAAATGCTCATATAGTCAGTTTCTAAGATTATGTCACCTAAACAAAAGAGTACAAGGGTGACCTACGACCAAATTATGATAGGCATTTCCATGGGTTACAACTTCTTAAGATGCATAGAATATTATACAGACTGTGCATATGTCTTTATACCTGAAATTATGTGTATGTGTACAGACACACACACAAACACACATATACAGGGGTTATAGACACTGATATAAATTGGAAATTAAATGAAGCATACTTTGATAATTTGTTGATAATACAAAAAGTCATTAATTAGTACAAAACAACATGGAGAGAGGGGAGAGAATTCTATAAAGCTCTTTTTCCTTGCTGGCTGGTGTCCTGAACAGGATGACCTGTGAGATGACTGAGAAATACTGTATCATTTTGTGACAAGACCCATCTGTGTGTACACACACACACACACAGAGAGAGAGAGAGAGAGAGAGAGAGAGAGAGAGAGAGAGAGAAAGAGAGAGAGGTTACCTCTTGATTCTATATGAATTGCAGATACTGGAACTTTTTCGGGAGGAAATCTAAGCTGATAGGACATAGAATCCATAAAAATTACACCCACAAAGTTCCGGGGGCTACGAAGACTAGCTTCTTGCATTTCCTGCTCAGTTAAAAATTCTTCTGTAAGGATCCCTGCAAAAAAGAAAACATTTTTTCTAATCATTTTCATCTCAAAATATGTCACAGTAAATATAATACTATGCCTCAATTGTTTTTTTAATTGACTAGTCCAGCCCAGGAGACTTTACTGTTTATACTCATATGCCAGCTAAGGATGTTTACTTTACAAACTGGATGAAAGCCTGTAAAATTATTCATAGCAATGCATAAGTACATTTACATTCGTAAGCCCTTTTGAGGAGAATGCTGTCTTATAATACATTAGTAAAATGGAAAGTTTTTTAGTTTTGTTTTGCTACCATATTTTTAAAATCTGTTTGGGTTTTTTTTTGGAGGGGGGTTGCAGCCCAATGCTACAGATCAGATCTCTATGCTTCTCATGTTTATGAATAAAATGAAAGCATGTCTTCATTAAACAATGTCTATACTGCTGTCATGGCATAAGCCAGTGCTATCACTCACAAGTAACATGCAGGGGGATGAGCAAATCTATTTTCCCTGCCAGACTCCACTGGCAACTGTATGACGTGATAGTCATTCAGTTGCTCTCATAAGAGACAAATCTTGATCGGACTTTCTTTGCTCTTCTGACTTTGCTGTTGTTTAGTCATTTAGTTGTGTTCGACTCTTCGTGACCCCATGAACCAGAGCACGCCACGGCCTCCTGTCTTCCACAGCCTCCCGGAGTTGGGTCAAATTCATGTTGGTAGCTTCGGTGACACTGTCCAACCATCTCATCCTCTGTCATTCCCTTCTCCTATTGCCTTCACATTTTCCCAACATCAGGGTCTTTTCCAGGGAGTCTTCTCTTCTCATCAGATGGCCAAAGTATTGGAGCCTCAGCTTCAGGTTCTATCCTTCCAGTGAGCACTCAGGGTTGATTTCCTGCAAAATGGATAGGTTTGTTCTCCTTGCAGTCCGGGGGACTCTCAAGAGTCTCCTCCAGCACCACAATTCAAAAGCATCAATTCTTTGGCTGTCAGCCTTCTTTATGGTCCAGCTCTCACTTCCATACATCGCTACTGGAAAAACCATAGCTTTCACTACGCGGACCTTTGTCAGCAAGTTGATATCTCTTGCTTTTTAAGATGCTGTCTAGGTTTGTTATCACTTTCCTCCCAAGAAGCAGACGCCTTTTAATTTTGTGGCTGCTGTCACCATCTGCAGTGATCATGGGGCCCAAGAAGGTAAACTCTGTTTACTTTTGACTTACTCAAGTAATTAAGACAATGGCACTGAAGACCGCTAGACTTGAGTTAAGAGAACATTGCTCATTAGGAAGTTCTTATTATTCAAGGCCTCCAAGCTCTTTTTCTATTATTGGATGGAGCCTGAGTTAAAGGAATAGTTTGCTATATTCTTAATATTAAAAGCCATAGTAAGATAATAGAACCATTTCCCCTCAGTTTATACATACATAGTATGTTGCTGCACTGAACAAAGGAAGGATCTGGTGCTGCTTTGTGCTCAGGCACAAAACAAAAAAAAGGTATTGGAGTTTGACAAAGAGAAATTATTTTTCCAGACAGAAAACACATATTAACTAATCTGATTTTTAAAGTAAATGCAAGAAAAAAGGACAACACATTTTTATGGAAATAAATAATAGCATGAAACAGCACAGTACCTTCTGTAAAATATTCTGCAGACATTTTATGCATGATTTTTCTTGTCACGTCATTAGCTGGTGTGTATCCAACAATAAATTCAGAAATGCTGGAGTGGTCCACAAAATAAGGGTCAGAATCAGGCACCTCATCATATTTCTTGTTTGGATACATCATGCTCATCAATATTAGCCAAAATAAAAAGAACAGTGGAAGCAAGATTTCCTAAAAGAGAAAAAGAAAAAAAGAACAAGTCAAATGAGTAACACTTTGAAAGAACTATCTAAAACTGTGCTCTTGCACCTAGCCCCTTGGAAGACAACAGATTTAAGGATGCAAAATAAAAAAATAAAATGGTAATCCGAAAACTAATTACCAAGCATGAATATAACTGAGAAATGCAGCATCTTGCATTCCAATCAACTGAAATTCTAATGAAACAATTTAAACAAAAAAGTATAGGTTGGATAAAAACGTCCTTCCTTTTGTATAGGGGTGGTGGTGGAGCAGGGGAGGTGTCTATGGTTTCATTTTTTTCCAGAGAGATATGCAATGCAGTTTCCTACTGTATTGCAGTTTCTGGAAAAATTCAGGAATGCTCTTCTTCCCACTTTTTACAAGCCTGTGCCCTCCATACATACATCTTTGAATGTGACTATATTTTTATAATTACCCATGTATAATATTAATTATTGCATATACCACAAACCATCTGAAGCAAGCAAAGAAACAAACAAACAAAAACAAAGAATATGATTTATGGGTTGTACAGATCATTATTTCCTGCATGATAAAGACAGAAAGTTCTTGTGGATAAAACTGATATTGAACTGTTTCTTCTAATGATAATATGATCACAGTACACACATAACAACCATAGGAAAAAGCCCTTGAAATATAATACAGCCAGCAGAGGCAGGCTATTCTCTGGTGCCTTTTTTGTTCCGCAAGATGGCATTCCTGCAGACCCAAATGCCTGACTCCCATCCCTTTCTTTATTCCTCCCTCTTCTATTTACACCTAAATACCAAACAGCTCCTGGCATAAGGTGCCATATTCAGGCTGGCCCGGAAAGTACATTGGAGCAAGATAGCCAAAAGGTACAGCACCAAGGACAGCTCCCAGTGAACTCTAAGACTGGAGCTGAACTGAGGACTACTGTATTAACTGCTGATTCAGGACTTCTGTTTGCCAGTAGGGTTAAAGTCACTGAATTCATTTCCTAGAGAGGAAGGTTGCTGAGGGGGAGGCAGAACAGGGTGTGCAGTCAAAAAAAAGTCCCTTCCTGTCTCTCTCTCTTCTTCTTCTGGAGAAAAGAGGGGTTTTTCTCCAGGACTGCCTCTCCTTTCCTGGATCTGGGAATTCCCTCCCCCTCCCCCGGGGGGGGGATGCTAGTGAGTCCATCCCAGCTGGGTTGGAGGGGAGGCAAGGAAAGCTGGAGGCAAGGAAAGGGATAGACTATTCTCGAGCAGATAGAACCCAAACTGCAAGCCCAGCAAGGCAAAGCGTAGAGGACCCACAAACACACACACCAATTAGGAAACAGATATTTCCTGGCAGTGTTATGCCATGTCAAGTTACTCCTGCTTTTGGAAGCCCCCTATGAATTAATGCTCTCCCACCCCCCAAAAAACTGACTCCTATAGTCAAAAACTGTGCTGCAGGCTAATAAAATAAAGGCTGTGGTTTCTCTACTGAGTCAAGGCACCTAAAGTTCTGTCTTCCTTTTTTTCCTAGCATTTTTTGTTTCCAAGGAAATTTGTATTATCGTGATAGTTCACCCCATTAAAATGCCTGTTTATGCAAATGTGGTAAGGATTGTAGGTTTCTTGGCAATTATAAAATAGGGTTGCAACTTGAAAAAGGCTGGGAAGCATTCTGGTGTGAAGTAATTAGATGGATAGAAGCACTGATTAATTTAAAAATAGATATGAATGAAACATTATTGTTATTCTCAATATTTACAGGAGGAAATGAGAAACTCAAAAATAAAGAATTAACAGCAAATCTTATAGAGACAGCAAGATCCGAGATGGCTAGAAATTGGAAAAATGCCCAAGATCTTTCATTGCACACATTTATGAATAAGATATACCATACAATGCTGGTGGAAAAAATGACTAATAAAATTTGATTATATAGAGGAGAAATAAGACATAGTCAATTCACCAAAAACTGGAAGCCTCTATTAAAATATGCCAATAAGATAAATGGGGAAAGATGTGGCTCAGAAAACAATTTGGAGCATTTAGACTGTTGGTCGATATTTTTCTAAGATGAAATGGGGAATGGTGTAAATGTGACTTTATGAAATGTGGGAAAACCAGGTGGTCAACAGTTAAATTACATAATAAGTACAATGATAGATTACTATGTTAAGCCTGTATATATTACTTGTAACATGATGGATTGTAATATTTATATTTTTTAAAAAAAACTTGAAAAAGGTTGGAAAAACCTTAAAGAGACAACCTTAAAGAGACAACTCTCTGGGGTCCATCCTGTCATTTCATTTTGGACTGCTCCTGAGAACACTGCAGGGATTAGCCTACTATATCCTGGAATCATGAAACTCATAGAGGTGGGCAGCCCATCCTCAGAGGTGCCATGTTTGTGCAAGCATGGAAACTTCAGAGTCAAGTGGTTTGGCTCAAGTCAGATTTGGGGTCTCAAGCCTTGACAGCTCAGGGGGGTCTCCTTGGCCGCTAACTGTATGTCCAGCTAGCTGTTGGATCCATGGAACATTCCATATCCACATCACAATCCAGGGAACTAGAGCTCAGTGCTGGCATAAGCTTTCCCACTCCTAATGTGAGAGGGAAAGTACTGTCAGTGACTCCACTCCCTGCAGTCTCCCAACCTGCACTACCCATGTTCCTCATGTATGCTGTGCTGGAACATTTACAGTAGGAGATAGAGAGGGAGAAAGAAAGGCATGGGAACTATGCTAAGAGTGATGAGGATTGTTTTCGATGACAACTGGCTCACTGGTCATTTTCAGAGTGCAAAGGTATGAGTCTTCAGGGCTCTCCAACCCACCAAAATATCCTGTCTGCAAAGGACCAGGCCTTATAGCCATGCTTCAAAGGTAACCAGCCAGCCAACGGCAGTGCATGGGTGGTAACCATTGATGGTTACCATTTTACCATAACCACTGCTGTCCTGTTCTTCCCTGTCAGCCCTCCTAAGTGTTCTTACATGGCAAGCATGAGCAGCATCAATTGGTAGTGGCAGCTCTGATGCTGTGCAAAGCACCCCACTGCCTGAGGTAACTGCCTCACTCCAGCTAATGGTTTGCCTGGTCCTGCATGAACAAAAAGAGGAGGAACTACTTTCAAGCATTCCACAAGATCCTTCCTCCTACTTCAGAAAATCATCTTGAGACAAATGGAAAAAAGAATCTTTAAACTAGCCTAGAGCTACATCACTGAAGGTATCATGGCCATGGATTGAAGGATGGAAAATACAGTGTGTTTCTTCTTAGAGTTACACATAATCTTCAGATTTCATTTCAACATTCCCATGATTTATCTTCAATGGTGGAATAGCCCCACCAGCGGCATGGTCCACCGGTGTGTCTCTCATAATTGTGTGTGAATCCTATGGCCCTTCAGCTCATGAATCTCAAGTACATGAAGCAGCAACAACAAAAACAGAAGGACAGGTTGAAAAGCAAAAACACTCCCTCTGGAATTATAGTAGCACTGAAACAACAGGATGAATGTGGCAGCTAATGAGATATTGCTGTTTCATACTGTGTACACTATAAATATCATTTGTATTCTCTATACTTTTCAACTATACTATTTTAAAAATAGAGGGCATGATAGACAGAAATTTCCAAATAAAAATATTAGCTTTAGTACAATTAATCATATTTATGAAATCCAATTTATGTCAAAGAAGCACAAGTACAATTCTGGGAGGTCTCCTGCAAATAATGCTCTAAACCAATAAAGTTCTACATGAAGTATTTCAGCGCCCTCAAAACATCAGCAATTTTTAACAAAAAAGCCAAACATTGTTTTAGCAACTGAGCTGCTTTTAAACTTAGAAAACTTAGAAAAGAGCATTGCCAGCCAGCTCACCTGGATGCTACTTTTTTTAGTTCTCCATTTTACTAGGCAGTTCTTGTATAAAAGAGCTCTGGTTTGTCGCCATACTCCTTTTTGTCTTGAAGCCTCTGGGGACATTTTTCACACATAAACTGAAAAGAACAAAAACAGGAAAAAGAAGGAAATGATGTATAACACTGAAAAATATGGAAATCAAAATCCCCCTTGTATAATAAGGTTAAGGTTGTCCACTCAAGGAAAGATTCTTTATTAGATGAAGCATCCATTTTCCCACCAGCAATTCAATTTAATTTCATTCTCATGTTACCAAATTTCCAATATGGATGGCTTTTTCAGACATCCATGGGAATGCCTACATTTAAATTACTGTTCATTGATAGAAAAAAAGGTTGTCTTTAATATTGTCATTCACTACTAAAGCTTTTAAATTCCAAGAAACAAACCATGTGCTTAATTCCCTGGCCCTTATCAGTTAAGCAGATCAAGGTAACACAAGATGATAAGTAGAATGCATTCATCAGCTTTTATTAAACAGTAGATCTTGAGGCCTGAAGCAGATAGTAGCACCAGAAATTGATATGTAACCTTTCCTCTACTCAGTTGTCCTGTTGAAAACTATTAATTCCACCAAAGCTCTCACTTCCTCCCTGGGGCGGGAAGCTGCCACTTGGCACCAATGAAAGGTTGCTATTCGGAGCTAATAACAGCTTCACGTAAGGCAGTTTAATGTCATAGTGTGGAAGAGTTAAATCCACATCCCCACATTCTATTATCCCAATCCAGAAAAAAGCATACATTCGGATATATCACCTAGTTTCGCACCTCCATCTCTAACCTACAACATATAGATTTCAATTGCAATCTTAAACACACATATGTGAGATTATGCCCCACTAAACTCAATGAGAGTTACTTTTGAATAGGTCTGTACAGTATTGTACTGTAAACCAAGCAGAGTTTCCAGCACTACATAAAATATTTACTGTGCTCAGCGCCATTCAATTACATACATATGCAGGATAAAGCAGCCTAGTGACTAATGTCCTTAAAAACTATAGCCGGTTTAGTATAATCAGCCTGATGAGAGAAACGGACAAGTATCTGTGGGAGTTATTCCCAACGAAGAGAAACTGCCACTAGAACCAATTAAAAGCTGTGAATAGCAAGAAACTGTCTCTGTTACCTTACTTTACTATGCAGAATGTACTGCCCAATTTGATTTACAGTATTTCAATTGTTGTAACTGTATTTCAAAAAAATGAATGGCTAGAGAAAGGGATTATTGCTTATTTGTTATTTATTAAAAATATATTTACCTTGCCTTTCTTCTTAAAAAGAATCCAAATCATTAAAAGACAGCATTTAATGCTAACAACAGTGAGTATACAAATACTAAAAAAAAATCAAACAAATATACTAAAAATCAGCCAAGAAAAGCAACAATAAAACACATTCAAAGCAGTAAAATACAACAATCCAGTTAAAAACCCATTCAGGCAGGCAGTCACTGAGGGAAAGCTTGCCTGAAGAGAAAAGTCTTCAACTGCTTGCGGAAGAACAGCAAAGATGGAGCTAGCCTGGCCTCTTGCGGGAGGGAGTTCCAAAATCTGGGAGCAGCAACAGAGAAGGCCTTCTCCTGTGTACCCACCAAACACACTCGTGAAGGTGGTGGGAGCAAGAGAAAGGCTTCTCCTCATGATCTTAACATTTGAGCAGGCTCATAAAGGGAGATGTGGTCTTTGAGACAGTTTGGGCCCAAGCTGTTTAAGGGTTTACAGGTTAGAACCAGCGCTTAGAATTGTAATGAATCAGCAGCCAGTACAGCTGCTGTAATAGGGGAGTTACATTGTCACATTGTATAAGAACAAAGGAGACAGGGGCAACTGCCATAACTACCATGTTCTCAGCATTGTAGGGAAGCTGCTTTCCCGTGTTGTGCTGAAGAGTCTTCAGGTGCTTGCAGACAGTCTATCCAGAATCACAGTATGGATTTTGAGCTAACAGATCCACCATTGACATGGTATTTTCCCTCAGAGAGTTGCAGGAGAAATGTAAGGAACAACAACAGCCACTTTGTGGCCTTCATAGATCTTACAAAGGCCTTTGA